AGGAAGAGCTCTGTACTCATCATTACTGTCTCTACTTTCTCTCCTCCTGTTCACTCCCACCAACTGAAGTCAAATTTTGTCCCTGCTTCTCTGATAAAACTGTCTTGGCAATGTGGTTTCTCCAGCTATTAAATCCAATGGTCACTTGTTGGCTCTTACCTCTTTTCCCTACTCTCTCCAGCATTTGGCACTATTGGCTGTTCCCATCTTCATGGCACGCTCTCACTCTGGACTCTTATGACACTATTCTCTTTAGTCTTGTTTTCCATCTACTCCTCAGTCCCCACTGCTATCGCTATAGTTTAAGTCCTCATAGTTCCTTGTTTGGGCCATTCAGTAGTCTGCTACTGTTTACATTGTCACTAGAGTTGTACAGCTAGAATCCATCCACCTCTCAACTGCCAAAGTCACTTTGAAAAAGCATAAGTCTATTCATGTTCTTCAATGAGTAAACCCTTAAATGACTTCCCATTGCTCACAGGATCAAGCCCAAACTTCAAAGCCTATCATGCAGTCTTTGCCTACCTCTCCCCTCATCAACTGCTGTGTTCCATCTTATATCCCAAACCATAGCAAACTGACATACTTATTTATAGACCATGCTCTTTTATTCCTCTGTGTCTTTGTTCCCTTTACCTGGTCTGAAATGTTCTCGTTCTCTTTTGCCTGCTTAGTGAACACTCACTAATCTTTCAAGATTCAGTTTATGTTCTTTCCTTTATGAAGCCCTCTGACTGCTCTGCACACTGGTAGAATTGGCCTCCCCGATTTGTGCCCTACAGTATCTTATAAATGCCTCTATTTTAATACCTACAACACTTTACAATTTATTCCCTGTTTACTTGTTTTTTTGTTCTAGACTCTAAGCTACTCAAGGACAAGGACTGTGTCTTAGATATTCTTCCCATACTCCTGGCACGTAACTTTTATTAAATATTTTTTTTCTCCCTATAAGTCAATGGCTTTTAGGATATTCAGAGATTTGTGCAACCATCATCTTAATTTTAGAACATTTTCATTACCCCAAAAGTAATCTCTTAGCCATAATCTCCTCAAATCCCCTACACCTCCCAGCTCTAGGTAACTAGCAAACTACTTTCTGTCTCTGTGGACTTGCCTATTCTGGACATTTCATCTGTATGAAATCACACAATATGTGGCCTTTTATGTCTAGTTTCTTTTGCTTAGCATAATATTTTCAATGATCATCCATATTGTACCTCATTTATTTTTTTGCTGAATAATATTCCATTGCATAGATATAACAAAGTTTATTTATTATTCATCAGCTGGTGAACATTAGTTTTTTCCCACTTTTTGGCTACTATGAATAATGCTGCCATTTGTGTACAAGTTTTTGCATGGGAATGTTTTCAGTTCCCTTGGATACATTCCTAGGGTGTAATTTCTGGATCATATGGTAATTCTATGTTTAATCTTTTGAGGAACTTCAAGGCTGCTTTCCAAAGCATTGTACCATTTAAAAAATTGTGGTGAAGTTCATAATATATAAGTAACCATTTTAAAGTGTACAATTAAGTGACTGTTAGTGCGTTCACAACCACCATCTCTTTTTAGTTTCAGAATTTTTTCTTGGGTCTTCCTTGGTGACGCAGTGGTTAAGAATCCACCTGCCAATGCAGGGGAACATGAGTTCGATCCCTGGTCCGGGAAGATCCCACATGCCGTGGAGCAACTACTGCAAGCCACAACTACTGAGCCCAAGCGCCACAACTACTGAAGCCCATATGAACCTAGAACCCGTGCTCTGCAACAAGAGAAGCCATTGCAATGAGAAGCCCATGCACGGCAACGAAGAGTAGGCTTCACTCACCACAACTAGAAAGCCCGCACGCAGCAATGAAGACCCAATGCAGCCAAAAAAATAAATAAAAAACAAACAAAAAAATCCTTTTTCTTTAACCCAGAAATTCACTCTATATTCATTAAATAACTCCCCATTATCTCTTCCCCCATCCACTGGCAACCACTAATCTGTTTTCTGTCTCTATGGATTTGCCTATTCTGGATATTTCACATATATTTCATATAATAAAAATCATATAATATGTGGCCTTTTGTATCTGGCTTCTTTCACATATCATAACGTTTTTGAGGTTTATCCAACTTGTAGTATGTTCCAGTACTTCATTCCTTTTCATGGTTGAACTCCATAGTATGTATACACCACAATTTGTTTATCGACTCATCCATTTATTTAGCTTGTTTCTACCTTTTAAATATAATAAATAATGTTTTTATAAACATTTGTATACAAATTTTCAGTGTGGACATATGCTTTCATTTCTCTTGGGTGTGTTCCTAGTAGTGGAATTGATGGGTCATATGGTAATTCTAAATTTAACTTTTTGAGGAACTGCCAAACTGTTTTCCACAGTGGCAGTACCATTTTACATTCCTATTAGCAATGTGTGAATGTTCTTATTTCTCTGCATCATTGTCAAATCTTGTTACTTTCCTTTTTTGTTTTTTTATTATAGGCATCCTAATAGATATGATGTAATATATCATTGTGGTTTTGATTTGCATTTTCTTTTTTTTTTTTTTTTTTTTTGCAGTACCTGGGCCTCTCACTGTTGTGGCCTCTCCCATTGCGGAGCACAGGCTCCAGACGCGCAGGCTCAGTGGCCATGGCTCACGGGCCCAGCTGCTCCGCGGCATGTGGGATCTTCCCGGACCGGGGCACGAACCCGTGTCCCCTGCATCGGCAGGCGGACTCTCAACCACTGCACCACCAGGGAAGCCCCTGCATTTTCTTAATGATCAATAATGTTGAATGTCTTTTCATGCATTTGATGGCCATTTGTATAGCTTCTATGGAAGAGCATCTATGCAATTCCTTTGCCCATTTAAAAATTGGGTTTTTGTCATTTTTTTGATGAGTTCTAAGAGTTATTAATATATCCTGAATACTAAATCTTTATTAAATGTATTATTTGCAAACATTTTCTCCCATTCTGTGGGTTGTCTTTTCAGTTTCTTGATGATGTCCTTTGAAGCATAAAAGTGCTTAATTTTGATGACATCCAGTTTGGTTTTTTTTTTTTTGCTTGTGCTTTTGGTGGCATATCTAAGAAATCATTGCCTAATATAGGGTCACAAAGATTTATGTCTATGTTTTCTTCTAAGAGTTTTAAAGATTTAGCTATTATATTTACGTCTTTGACACATTTTGAATTAGTTTCTATATACAGCGTGTGGTAGGTGTCCAACTAGTATGAGATAGGTGGCTTTCCAGATGCCCTCACCATATGTTGAAGAATTATTATTCCCCTTCCCAATTAACTCAATGTTTTGGCATCTTTGCCAAAAATCTATTGACAATAAATGTGAGGATTTATTTCTGAACTTTCAATGACATTTTATTGATCTATACGTCTATTCTCATGCCAGTACCACACTGTCTTAATTACTGTAGTTCTGTAGTAAGTTTTGAAATTGAGAAGTGTGAGTCCTCTAACTTTATCCTTTTTTTTCAAGAAGAACATTCATTTCCATATTAATTTTCAGATTGTTTTATTAATTTCTGCAAAGAAGTAAGCTGGGATTTTGATAGGATTATATTGAATCTGTAGATCAAATTGGAGAGTACTACCATCTTAACAATATTAAATTTTCCAATCCATGAACATGGGAAGTATTTTCATTTATTGAAGTTTTCTTTAATTTCTTTTAACAATTTTTGCAGTTTCAGAGTATGAGCTCTGCACTTTTTTGTTAAATTTATTTCTAAGCACTTTATCTATTTCGATGCTATTATAAATGAAATTGTTAGTTTCATTTTTGGTTTGTTTACTAATTCTTAATTTTATTTTCAAAATTTTCACTGTTAGTGTATAGAAATACAAGAGAATTTTGTGTGTTGATCTTGTACCCTGCAACCTTGCTGAACTCATTTATCAGTTTTAATAGTTTTTTAGTGGATACCTTAGGATTTTCTGTGTATAAGATCATGTCTTTGGTAAATACAGATAGGTTTACTTCTCCCTTCCCATCTTTATTTATTTTTCTTATCTAATTGCCTTGGCTAGAACCTCCAGTACAATGTTGAATAGGAATGGCAAGAGTAGACATCCTTGTCTTGTTCCTGATCTTAGGCGGACCATACGGGGAAAGCATTCAGTCTTTCACCATTAAATATATTAGGTGCCAGTTTTTTGAGGATGCACTTCATTAGGTTGACAAGTTCCCTTCTATTCCTAGTTTGTTGAGTGTTTTTATACAAAAGGGAAGTTGATTTGTCAAGTGCTCTTCCTGCATCAATTGAGATGACCATGTGGTCTTTGTCATTTGATCTATTGATGTGGTGTGTTACATTAACTAACTTTCAGACATTATACCAACCTTGCATTCCTGGGTTAAATGCAAATAAATATTCCTTAAATTGAATTCATGATGAGCAAAGTATCTGAGGATTGGGTAAAAATTAACTCGTTAAATGGCCAGAGAAACAAGACTGGAAAATAATTTCCATTTTAAGATAGTAATTAGTTAGGAATCATGGAAACTTTGAAAGTAGAATTGCTATTGTGGAAAGATTATAAGAGACTATAAGAATATAAATTAAAGAACTTTACCACTCTTTGAGTTCTATACTTTTCATTTAAAGTTCTAGAACTAGATCTTCATGATATTCTAGATTTAACAAAACTTAACCTGTCTCAACTATCCCTACTCTATAAAAATTACTGTAAACCTTTTCTCATAGATTTGCTCAATCTCTCCTACCCCACTCCTTCTCTCTCTCTCTCTCTCTCTCTCTCTCACACACACACACACACACACACACACACACATCCTTCCCACGTATTGTCCTAAATGAGAGTATCATTACTATTTATCCTAATTGAATATTTTAAAGTAGTTATCCAAAAGTAGTGTTAATTAGGAAAATAGTGAAGTTACATATGATTTTCTAATCAGCTTCCACCCTAGTGCTAAAACCACTCATAGAGAACCATAAGGACAGAAAAACTTACTTTTAATTGTGACCCCAAGAATTATCAATATCTCTATTAGCAGGGACAAGGGCTTCATTTTCTCCTAAGCAGCTCCTTCTTACTGTAACACAGGCAGAACTAGGTGGCTGGTCCACAAGCTTCCTCTTTTTAGGTCTGTAGGGGTCAGGAATTGGTTGCTAAGCAACAATTTCTTTACTTTTGGGCCAATGAGCTGCCAGGAAGTTCCTTTCAACGGGGAATGAAGGCAGCTGATAGACAGAGCAGGCTGTGGGGAAGGAACCATATCTAGTTTCTTACTTCTCCAGTAAGAGATACGTGGTAGGCTTGAAATAGGTAGGAGTTGCTCTCTGAATTCTGTTCAGAGTTGCTGGAAATTCTTATTTTTATGGTACCTCCAGAGATGCAAGCGGCAATTATGTGAAAACACAATTAACTAACCTGACATCATCCTTTAATCTAAGATCTCAAGGCTATGGTGGACAGGAAATATATGGACCAAGTCTGCTATGGTCCCCATCTTGGTGAAAATGTTTATACTCTGTTCAGGTAAGGAACTGCTGACATTTTACTAGGACCAAGACAAACAAATCCCAGTCATCAATTACATTTTTGAAAGAGAAAAACAAATACCATATGCTAACACATATATATGGAATCTAAAAAAAAAATGGTTCTGATAAACCTAGGGGCAGGACAGGAATAAAGACGCAGGCATAGAGAATGGACTTGAGGACAAGGGGCGGGGGAAGGGTAAGCTGGGACAAAGTGAGAGCGTAGCATTGACATATATACACTACCAAGTGTAAAATAGATAGCTAGTGAGAAGCAGCCGCATAGCACAGGGAGACCAGCTCTGTGCTTTGTGACCACCTAGAGGGGTGGGATAGGGAGGGTGGGAGGGAGGGGCCGCAACAGGGAGGGGATGTGGGGATATATGCATACATATAGCTGATTCACTTTGTTATACAAGGGAAATTAACACAACATTGTAAAGCAATTATACTCCAATAAAGATGTTAAAAAAAAAGGGTGTTTCAATAAACTTTCATTAAAAGGTGTTGAAAAATGTCTTCTTTACTCTCTTAAAATATATGGGCATTTTATGAATGAATACCCTTAAGGCTAGGACCAGAAATCAAAATGAATATTAGGTAAAGTATCGCAACATTACCAATACCCAAAGAATGGAGTTAGTAGAGAAATCATACCTAAAATATATCCAACTTTTACAGTGTGTTCAGGTAATTACTTCAGAAACAGATGTATTTATTGCCTTGAATTTTTAGGTTTACTCCCTGTATTCTCATTGCTGTTGTGACAAATTACTACAAATTTAGTGGGTTAAAAATAACAGAAAAAAACCCCAGAAATGTATTGTCTTACAGTTCTGGAGGTCAGAAGTCCAAAAGGATTCTTACAGGACTAAAATTAAGAGCAGATCTAATTGGTTCTGGGGGCTCCAGGAGAGAATCCATTCCTTGCCTAGAATCATCCAGATTTTAGTGGCTGCCCACATTTCTCAATTTGAGGCTACATCACTCTAATCTGCACAATCGTCATTTGCCTTCTCCCCTTCTGTGGTTTAATCTCCTTCTGTCTCCCTCTTAGGACACTTGCGATTACATTTAGGCACCACCAAAATACAAGATAATCTCCTGATCTCAAAATCCTCAGTCATATTGGCAAAGTTCCTTTTGCTAAATAAAGTAACATTCATAAGTTCTAGAGATTAGGTCCTGGAGATCTTTGGGACCGTTATTCAGTCTACCAGTGTCCCTAATATCTTTTCCCCTCACCAAGAGACTTCAAAATAGAACTGTCCCAACTTCTGTACTTTAAAAAAGTATCTAAATAAAATTTATTTAAACTCTTAATATCATCCATTAAACATTCTTCAAACAACCTTTTTTTCCAGTCCCCATTTGGATCCAGAATTATCAGCATCTTCCAGCAGATGATTTTGCTTCCTATTTTCATGGAAACTGAGGCCATTTGACCTATCTTGCCTCGACTTCCTTTCTTTTTATTAAAAAAAATTTCTGAATCTCCATCTGTTCTTTTTTTCCTAATTCATCCCAAAAGATGAAATGCACTTCCTATATTCTAAATCCAAACTTCTCTCACTTTTGATTCTATCCACATTTACTTTCTCTGGTACTTCACTCTAACATTTGTTCTTTTCTCTTCTTTTTCTCTCTCTCTCTTTTTGTTTCAATCTTTTTGTACCAATCTTCTTCTTAATTTAAAAACTCTTCATTCCACCTCTCCTAGAAAAATTTTCCCTTGACTCTCGTATCCTTGCTACTGCTATCTTTTCTACTTATCCCTTAGCCTCTAAACATCTTGAAAGAATACTCCTTAATCACTGCCTCTGGCTTGTTGCCTCTCACTTATTCTTCAACTACTTGTTTTTATTTTCACTAATTTACATAGACTATAAATCCAATTATCTTTTCTCGGTTCTTATCCTACTTGATCTCTGTGAGACATCTGACATTTCTGACCATAAACATCTTCTTGAAAACATATTATTGGTTTCTCTGAAAATTGAATTGCAGTTACTTTTTTACACTTTTGAACACATCTTCTCATTCTCCTTCTACCACTCCCTGCCTCATTCATTTACATGTTGAAAATCTGCTATATGCTAAAGATGAAAGGTAATACTCTTTGAGGTGTTCATTAATTTTATTTGTTAGTTCCTCTCTTGGTCTTCACATTAAATTAGGGGCTCCCATTTTGGTGTCATGTGCTCTTCCTTAGTTTTGCCAGCATTTCTCTACGGATGCTCACTTAACTTTCAGTTACTCAATAAATTTTTATTATGTGCCAAGCATTGTGCATTTTCTGTGGATGGTGAGCAACAAGATATATTTCCCGTCCTCAGAGAGTTTATAAGTCTAGAGTGAAAGGCAAATATTAATGAAATAATCACAAAAATAAATGTATAATTAAAAACTATAAAAAGTGCTTTATAGGAAAATGAATGAGTACTGAGGACACAGAATAGGAAGCTGTACATAGAGGTCAGGTGGGGTCAGAATCAGGAAGGGCTTTGCCAGGGAGTGAATTTTGCCGGCTAAACTCTGAAGAATGAGAATGGGTTAACTAAGCAAAACACGTCCTAGGTATAGTGATAAACATGTGAAAAGGCCATGTGGTGAGAATAAGACATGTTCAAGGAACTAAGGGCTGCTATGGTTGGAATCAGAGATGGGTGATGGGGGTGGAGCATGGTATAAGGTAAAGCAGAATTGGTAGGTGATGGTCACTCCTAAATGATTCAGTTTTTATAAGACTGTGTTAGTCATCTTGGGCTGCCATAACAAAATACCACACACTGGGCGGCTTAAACAACAGAAGTTAGTTTTCTCACAGTTCTGGATGCTGGAAGTCCATGATCAGGGTACAGCATGGTCTGCTTCTTGTGAAGGCTCTCTTCCTGGTTTGCAGATGGCTGGCTTCTCACTGGGTCTTTACATGATGGGGGACAGTGGAGTTAGAATGCGGGAGTCAGAGGGAAGGGGAGAGAGAGAGAGTGTGAACTCTTCTCATTTTTATAAGGCCACAGTCCTACTGGATTAGGGCCCCACCCTTATGACCTCAGTTAACCATAATTACCTCCTAAAGACCCTATATCTAGATATAAGCACATTGTGGGCTATATGAATTTTGGGGGAACTCAGTTCAATCCATGGTAAAGTCCCCCACAAAGTCACTGAATGATTTACAACAGTAAAATGACCTGATCACACTTGACAAGATAACTCTAGATTCAGGGCAGAGGGGTAAGAAAACTTTCCTGTAGTTAATAAATGTGGGAGTCATTGATGTAACTCAGGATTTTCCAACCTGAACGGTATTGACATTATTGCAGGGGACTGTCCTGTGCATGGTAGGATGCTTAGCAGAATCCTTGGTTTACATTCACTCAATGCCAGTAGCATTTTTCCCTCAGGTGTGACAACCAAAAATGTCTCCAGACATTGCCAATGTCCCCAAGGGAGGCAGAATTGCCCCTGGTTGAGAATTATAGTTATAACTGAAGCCATGAATATGTATGAAATTATTCAAAGAATGAACTCCAAAATGTAATGGCTGAAAAGGAAGATGGGCCAACAAAGGAGGCTATAAAGGAATGACCAGACAGGAGGAAACTCAAAAGGCTGACAAAATTAAAGGAAAAGAATGCTGTCAGGAGGAGTAAGAGGTTAATACTATTAAATGCTGCTGAGAGATCTTGTAAGAGAAAGATTGAAAAATGTCCATTAAATATCACATGAAGGCCATTGATTACCTTAGTAACAGCCGTTTCAGTTTATTTATAGGATAGAACCCAGGTTAGAGTGGACTGAAGAGCAGAAAGTGGGATACAAGAAAATTGACACAACATTTTGGAAAGGAGGAAGTTACTTTGGAAAGTAACTTCCCTTAGCAGTAGGAGTGTGGGATCACGGGAAGCATTTGTATTTATTTTTATTTTATTTATTTTAACATGCGAGAAACCTGAGAAAGTTTAAAAGTTGATGGATGGTCCCAGTTCTTTGAGTCAACATGAGATAAAGGATAATCAGTAGTGCAGTGCTTCTAAGAAAGCACAGGTGGCAGACTTCCCTGGCGGTGCAGTGGCTAAGAATCTGCCTGTCAATTCAGAGGACACGGGTTTGAGCCCTGGTCCGGGAAGATCCCACATACTGCAGGCCCGTGCACCACAACTACTGAGCCTGCACTCTAGAGCCCGCGAGCCACAACTACTGAAGCCCGCACGCCTAGCGCCTGTGCTCCGCACCAAGAGAAGCAACCGCAATGAGAAGCTTGCGCACCTCAACAAAGAGTAGCCCCTGCTCGCCGCAACTAGAGAAAGCCCACGCACAGCAACAAAGACCCAACGCAGCCAAAAATAATAAATAAATAAATAAACATTAAAAAAAAGAAAGAAAGCACAGGTGGAAGGACTGGCTCTGGGTTGGGGTGGAAACAGCTTCTCTGTTGTAACAGAAGAGAAGGTGCCCAGTATAATGCACTTTCCTGCACACATTGCATTTTGCATTTTAACTAAGGACTCAATATCTTTCCCGTGAAATCTGAAACTGCTCCTGTATTGCCAAATATTATTAATATTGCTATTTTCCTCAACTATACCGTGAAACCCTAGATTCTTTCTCTTTCTTATTCTCTTCCCTAGATCTATTTCATTACCAATTTTTATTGATTCTACCTTGGTAATGTGCCTTAGAGTCCTGCTTTTATTTCCACTGCCAACAAATGAGTGCATATTTTCATTATTAGCTCAAATGTCACTTCCTTCTTGAAGCTTTCCCTATTTCTCTCAAACAAATTTTTATGTACTTCACAGCATTAAAAGAAAAACAGAAGCAGAAACAATGTCAAAATTAATAAAATTATCTTACTGTTATTAATTATCCTCATGAGAGTGTCCTGTTACTCAAAACATTTCATTCTTTACAATTCTTAAGGCCCCCCCCTTTCTTCCTCTTATTATTAAAAACCTGTTCCAAATAATTATTTGCTCTTACACACCTGGCTTAAGTACAACACAGATAACACAGCACCCCAATTGTCAAATAAATGTGGATTCACCACATCCACCAAATCAGCCTTGTCTGATATTTAGAAACACCATAAATTTGGGGATGGGGTTACCAAACTTCCTCTAAATTCTATGTCACCCTACTCCTATGGTGGACTCGAACGGAACCGGGTTTTCAGATCACCTGCAGACTAGCATTGCCCAGATTCAAGCGAGCCCTTTAGACTAGCGCCTTGACTGAAGCAATTGGTGGGGGAATAAAACCGATAAGATTACGGGCTCTGGTTAACACCCACTTGAACTTGCTTTGATGTGACTTTTTCCGTTTCCAGTATAAGGTTCTGGTTGCCCACTACGTCCCGGTTCTTAAACCCTTGAGTAGTTCAGTTTACTTTTGTTCCTTCCAGACTTCACCGGAGTCGAGTGAAATACATAATTTTTACTACAAGGTCAAGGAGCTGATTGTATATGGTCTGGAACCATTTCCTAATCCTTTCACTTCTTTCAGTTATATTTGCCCACCAAGAGGAAAGCTTCAGATTATCCGGTAAAATCCGTCCACACGGGGCGGTGACAGTGAAAGCATACAATTCGTGTTGACTCACATCTCCTCGCACTTCCACTTCTTCCAGGCCCTGAGGCAGCTTTTCCCAGTCAGCGCGCAATCACCTGGAGAACCTGGCCCTTCCTGTAGGCCACGCCCTCGGGTTTTCCCAGAGCCGCGAAGCCGCAAGGAATCGCCCAGCGCCTCACGGTGCTCCCGCGGGGCCGCCCCACGCCCCGCCCCAGTCCTGAGCCACCTCCAGCCCCCTCGAGCCCTGGCTCCACCCCCTCCAGCTCCCCAACGTCCTCGGCGTCGGGCCCGAGCCTGCGCCTGCGCGTGCGCCCTGGGGCCGAAGTCGGGGCGCGCGGTAGCTAGAACGCGGAGAGCGGCGGGCGGTGCAGCCAATGGGAGGCGGCGCTGGCTAGAGGCTGGGAGGCGGGGCCTGCGCGGGTGTTAGGTTAGCGCGAGGCGTGACCTAGTTGACAGGCTCTGAGGTGCTGCTGTGGTGGCTGCCGCGGAGCTGAGGCAGGTGGGAGCCAGAGCCGAGTGCGTACTGAGGGAGGAGGGCGGCGACTGGAGAGCGGCGAGCGGCGCGGGACCCGGAGCCTCTTCCACTTTTTCCCTCCCGAGCGCCCCCTCCCACCCCTCCCACTCCGCATACACCCTGTTTGCCCGTGAGCCTGGGGAACTTGCAGCTTAAAGCCAGCCACCCCCACAGCAACATGTACCCCAGCAACAAGAAGAAAAAGGTGTGGAGAGAGGAGAAAGGTAACCGGCCCGTCGAGTCCCGGGGGGCGGGGGTGGGGTCGGGTGGGGTGGGGGCGGGAGTCAGGGCTCTGTGTACAGCGGCGCCCTCCGCCCCACTCCCGCCTCCCGCCCGGCTGGCTGGTGCCGCCTCCC